AGATTGTCCTGGATTACCAGGGTGGGCCCTACATCCAGTGACTGGCTGTACCTATAAGGGAAACGAGAGGGACATTTGAGACACGCAGACACAGGGGAGAAGGCCAGGTGAAGACAGAGGCAGGGATCAGAATGATGTGCCCACTAGCCCAGGAAGGCCAGGAGCCACGAGTATGTGAGAGGGGTAAGGAAGGGCCCTCCTCTAGAGTCACAGGAGGGGATGTGGCCCCACCAAAGGCCTGCTTTCAGAATTCTAGCCTCCCTGTCAGTGAAGAGAAGACGTTTCTGTTGTGTCAAGCCATCCAGTCTGTGGTAGATTGTATGGCAGCCCTAGGGAACTAATAGGCCACTCTTCTCCTTCTGATGCTAAAGGAGAGATTTAAGAAAAAGGACAAAGCAGGCCAAGCCATCACGTGGCTTTTTTAGCTTATGAAAATCTCTTTGGAAATTTCCCCTTCCCCATGCCTTTACCTTCCTGCATTCCCCCCGCCCTATATAAAACCAGCCTCTAAGGTCCGGGGGCAGCTGTTTCTGTCCATGGGTTTGTCCCTCTTCTTTAATAAAACCACCTTTCGCACGGATTAAAAATAAAAGCTTTGTCTTTTTTTATGAGAGGTTATTTTGTGTGCTGCTAATTCTGAATAGGGTCTACACTCAACTATCTCCTTTTGGGAAGAGACTGCTTTTATTTACCCATTCAATAAGCGTGCCTGGTGGCCTATATTGTAGGTTAACCTCAAGCATGGTTAAATACTAATATGCTATTTCTCCTTCTGTAAATCCACTTCACAAGCCTGTGTTTCATTGTTCTAAGTAACTATCACGTTATAGAATACCTCATCGCTATTTGGAGTCAGATGATCTGTCAGGTAGTCACTGTCCCACAGTTTCTCAAATGTCAATCTATAATTGGTTATATCACAACTTCTAAAGACAAAGATCTTTGAAATGATAGGTTCCTGCCAAAACTAACATCTGTGTGTTACAATGTAATTGGTCACCATGGAATACTGTAAGTGTAATTCGTTAACTAAATAATGACATATTCTGCCTTGCTAAAATCCATATAAGCTCACTGCTACCTTTGTTTGGGGCCATTCTATGCATTTTTCTCCTTAAGATCAGGATATCAGGTTGGCCCGGCCATAAATAAAATTTTGCTTCGCTTCTATTTGGCGCTTGGTGGTCTTTTCAACAATCATCCTGCTTCAGCCTAGGCAACTGCTTTTAAAGAAATGTCACTGGATTCTAACATAACCACCCAGCTGGAAGGCAAGGGGCATCAAAGAAGGGTTAGATGTGTTTTATCATGTGTTGCCATCTCTCTGTGAATTGCTTTTCTCTGTCATGTGGTATCCCAATCGGGTGCCACATCCCTGCATACCCTGCTTCTGTCTTGGGAAGGCCCACAGTCTGTCCTCAAGAACCAGGGAATTGCAGCCCTTTGGGAGAAGAAACAGCCTCTTCCATTCCATACTCTTTTCCTTGAGCTGATCTTTCCTGCTACTAACTCCCAGAATGGAAAAGTTCAAGGACAAAGATTAAGGTGGGGGCCCAGAAGCCAGCTGACAGATGGGCATACTTTGAGTCAAGGTCTGAAGCTTAAAAAGTAGAGCCTTTTTGGTCACGTAGCCTATTTGGCATAGGACTAGCTAAAGTCTTAGTGAAATAATATCCGTATCGCTAGTTTCACCTACCATGAACTTGCGGGGAGTGGATGGCAATTATCCTGGCCTTGGTCACTCTTCAGAGCCAGTTGTTCTCATGTCCTCTCCAATGACTCTGTTTTTCTTATTGATTTACACATGGTGCTTACTGCCTTCCCCTCATCCACGCCTCTCCCTTCTTACCCCACTCTGCTCACCCCTGCACCAGCAAGAAGAGTTACTGGCATCTTACTATTCAAGCAGCTTGGTACCGCTGGAGTCATCTGTTTTAGCTATGGCATACAACTTTGACACATCCACCTTGACAAATGGAACTTCCAAGCATACACCATAAGCTTAGAGACACATGAAGGATCTGGGCCAGATATTCTGATTCCGCTTGGGGTGCATGGGTACTGACCAGAAGGTTCACAGTGAGGTGCAGGGCCGCTCCACATCCCATTCCCTTCACTGTCACTTGTGCAGCGGATGGTGCTCTTCCCAACGAGGTTGAAGGTCATCCCTCTGGCTGGGTGGTGGTCACACATGTAAGTAATTTCCATTCCATAGGGAACGCCTCCCTGAGAAGTTCCGTTGCGTTTCCCATTAAGGATAGATGGAGGGCTTGGACAAAAGATTTCTAGAAAGAGAGCAGGAGATTTAGATCCCATTAGAGTTTTAATCAAGAGTACAGCACTGGTGCCCTGGGACTGTATTTTTTCCATGAGAACACACTAAAGTTGATGGGCTTAAGTATGTAAGGCTTCTTCAGAAAAGGAACTAACTGAAGTGAGACTTTATTTACAGTTTATTGCAAAAGTCCAAGACCCTCCAGGTAACTAAGATTTTCATCAATTTGAAATGGAACTAATTTGTTTTTTTCAGCAACTGTCACTTGCCTACTTTATGTTTGGCAAAAGACATCCTGTGTTGACAGTCTTGGGTTGACAGGCAAGATGGCCCTCAAAGATCGAAGTTGCAAAGAAATCTTTGTAAACCTTTACTAAGCACAGATGACCTTCTTCAGTAGATATAACTGTTTCTTGATTCAAGACCATTATCGTCTGTATCAATAACAAATACACAATAGTATCTTTAGGATACACTGATTATAGGACTTTTCAGAGCCAAATTAAGTGGCTCTAGGGAGCCTTTTTTTCCCCTTTGTTTTTTTTCCTTTATTTTAAGTGACCAGCTGTCCTTTCTTTCTGCTATTAGTATCTATTTCTAGCAGTTCACAATTTGATGCTTTGAATCTAATATGAACTTATGAATAGATACCCAAGTCTGTCAGAATTGTATGAATAAACAAAGTGAAGGTTCTAGGACAGCCAACAGTGATTGACTTCTCATATCTAGATTTTATCCCTGTGTTTTATATTTGCCTAAAGTTTATTTATGTATTTACTTTCACATTTATATGTCTCAGGAAGGTAGAGTTTGTTTTTGTTGGAAATCTGAGTTCTATTGATACTGATTGTTCTTATACAGTTCCATCAGCATCCCATTACGTGTCCAAATAGATCTCTAGCAAAGACGTTCCAACAAAAGTCCAGATTAAAATAGCTACTCACAGCTGAACAAAGGTGCCTCTGTACATTACATTTCTGCACACCGGCGCTTCAAAAACCAAAGAGGATAGTATCTCAGAGGCTGCTATGGATCCAAAAGAAGTGGGATCCAAGGGAATTGGGGGGAATTGCTCCACACACATTTGCTGCAAAACTGGAGAGAGCAAAGCATGGTGGACATGCACCAGAAACAGATTTTGCAGAGGCCCAGCCAGCCTGATGGGATAACCAGGTGCCCATCCAGGCAGGATGGAGGCAGAGGAGGAGGAGGATCTGGAGGAGCCAGCTCCCTCTTCCGGGCCAAGACTTCCCTCACTGAGCAAGTGGAAGTGAAAGTGGTGAGTGACTGAGTGGACCCATTTCTCTCCAGCTGCACAGATTCCTGAGGGGGGGAATCTGCACCTGGAGGAGAGACGAAAGGGGAAGAGAGGCAGTCAAGAAGAACAAAGGGCCTTGAAGGGACCTGTTCCCCTGGATATCAGCTGTGGGATTTTAGCGGGAGGTTGGCGCTCAGACCTCCCTCTGGGAGTAGCCCCGATTTGAGGATCCCCCTTTTGGGGCCATGGGCACCCACAAAGCAACAGGTGTGAAACCCACACCTCCCCCAACTCTGCCATCAGCTGTTTCTACACCAGCTTTTTAAAGCCAGTGTGCTTCCCGGTGCAGCCCAGACCCAAGGCACGCGAAGAGAAACTAAAATCTTGAGTTAAAGCGCCACCTTTTGGAAAGCAGAAGAATGATTTCTAATTGCAAGTCCGCTGAACTGAGCAACAAGAAAGCTGTGTGCTACTTCAAATGCAATGGCAGAGACACATTTTGTCAAACACTATGAAAAACCGCAGAAATCTCAAGCCGCAAAGAGGAAATGATAATTCTCCAGCGATCGATCTCCAAGGCATGGAGCACCGCAATCTAGCTGAGAAAGAATTCGAAACAGCTGTTATGAAGAGATTCCATGAGCTACAAGAAAATCCAGAAAGACAATTCAATGAACTAAGGAATAAAATCAGCGGCCAAAAGGAGTTCTTTACCAAAGAGACTGAAATTTAAAAAAAGAACCAGACACAACAAATCCACACTTTTGTTTATGTACAATAAAGTTTTCTATTTCTCTAAAAGAAAAAAAAATACCAGAAATTCTGGAGATGATAAATTCAAAAAATCAGATGAAAAATAGATTGGAGAGCTTAGGAAATGGGACAGATCAGCTTGAGGAACAAATTAGTGACCTGGAGGATATGAATTTACAAATGACTCCGAAGAGGCGAGAGCACCAAGATTATTTTTAAAGTGATGAAACCCTATTAGAGCTATGTGATATGAGAAAAACGCATATAAGAATAACTGGTTTACCCGAAGAAGAGAGGGAGAAGGAAGCAAGTGTCTTAGAAAAACAGTAGCTGAGAATTTTCTAACGCGGGGGAAGAAACTGAGAAATAAAGCCTTTCCCAGAAAGTTGAAAAAAAAAAATGAGGAAGATTCGCCACCGCTAGACCTGCTTACAAGAAATGTTAAAGGAAGCTCTTCAGCTGAAATGAAGAAATGTTAATGCGTGAAATAACAGCAAGTGAAAGTACACAGCACTCTAGCAAAAGTGAAAAATAAAGACAACTGTAACTCTATATTGGAGTAGCATATTAACCACTTAATCATGAAAACTTATAGAGGGGCACCTGGGTGGCTCAGTTAGTTAAATGTCCAACTCCTGATTTTGGCCCAGGTCATAATCTCACAGTTCGTGGTTTCGACCTCCATGCTGGGCTCCGTGCTTGGGAGTCCTTCTCTCTTCTCTGCCCCTCTCTCTCTCTTTCTTTCAAAATAAACAAATAAACGTAAAAATATATATCCTAGTATTTTTAAAAAGCTTATGGAAACGAACATTACAAATAACTGTACCTACTATAATTTCTCAGTGAATTCACAGCATAAAAAGAGGTAAACTATAACATCAAAAATATAAAGAGGACGAGTAAAAGGGTAGAAGCTTTATAGGTGAGTGAAGATAAGGTGTTATCAACCTCAGAAGGACTGTTTTATCTGTGAGATGTTTCATGTAAGCCACATGGCAACCACAAAGAAAACGTCTAGAGTAAAGTCATGAAACATAAAAAATGAGGAGAATGAGCAAATCACCATAGAAAACCACCATTTTGCAAAGACAGACAAAAACAGAGGGAAATAAAACAAAGGAGAAACAAGACAACAACCAGAAGGCAAATGACATGATTGATGGCAGTAGTAAGTCCTTATGTAGCAATAGTTACTCTAAATATAAATGGATGAACTCATCAATCACTAGGCACAGAGTAGCTGGATGGATAAAATGTAACACCAAACTATAGGCTGCCCACGGGAAATTCATTTCAGCTCTGAAGACACATAGGCTCAAAGTGAAGGAATGGAAGAGGATATTCTATGCAAGTGACAATCAAAAGAAAGTGGGCATAGCCATAGGTTATATAAGACAAAAGAGACTTCATGCTAAAAATGATAAGACACAAAGAAGGTCATTATAGAATGACAAAAGGTTGAGTCAATATATCCTGAAGATATAACAACTGTAAGTATATACACACCCAACATTGGAACACTAAGTATATTAGGCAAATGCTGAGAGATCTAAAGGGAGAAATAGACAACTATATGATAATAGTAGGGGACTTTAGTACCCCTACTCTGAGCAAATGATAGATCAGACAGAAAGCCACCAAGGACACATTGGAATTGAACCATACTCTAGAACAAATGGACTTGACATACGTATATACATAGAAAACTCCTCCTAATGGCAGCAAAATACACATTCCTCTTGAGTGCACAAAAACATTTTCCAGGATCAATCATATGATAGGGCACAAAACAAATCTCAGCAAATTGAAGAAGACTGAAATCATACAACTATTTTTTTCTGACTACACTAATAGGACACTAGAAATCCACAACAAGAGGAAAACTGGAGAATCTACAAATCTGTGCACTAAACAACACATTTCTGAACAACCAATGCATCGAAGAAGAAATCAAAAAGGAAATTAAAAAGTTATCATGAAGAAAATAAAAATGGGTATACAACATATCAAATCTTATGGGGCGCAGCACAAGCATCTTGGAAAAGAAAGTTTGTAGTGACAAATGCATACATTAAGAAATTGGAAAGATCTCAAATAACCTAACTTTTCACTTCAAGGACCTAGAAAAAGAACAGATTAAGCCCAAAGTTATGAGAAGAAGGGAAATAATAAAGATCAGAGTAGAAATAAATGAAATACAGAACAGAAAAACAAGAGACAGTATCAACAAGACTAAAAGCTGGCTTTAGAAAAAGATAATACCGACAAACCTTTAGCCAGACTACTAAAAAAAAGAGAGAGAAGACTCAATAAATAAACTTAGAAATGAAAAGGGAGACGACTGATACTACAGAAATACATGAGACCGCAAGACACTATTATGAACAATTACACGCCAGCAAATTAGAAGCATATAATATGACAACAAACTAGAAGAAATGGATACGTTTCTAGACACATAAAACCTACAAAGGCCAAGTCAGGAAGAAATACAAACTCTGAAAGGACCAATAGCCAGCAAAGAGATGGACTCAGTAATCAAAAAACTCCCAACACAGAAAACTCTAGAGCTGATCGCTTCACTGGTGAGTTCTACCAAACATTCAAAGAAAAATTAATACCAGCCCCACTCAAATGTTTCCAAAACATTGCAGAGGTGGGACTACATCTAAACTCATTCTAGGAGACCAGCGTTATATTACCCCGACACCAATGCCAGGTAAGGACACAACAAAAAAGTAAACTATAGATCAATATTCCTGATGAGATAGCTGCAGAAATTCTCAACAAAATATTAGCAAACCAAATTCAAGAACACTTAAAAAGGATTATACACTCTGACCAAGTGAAATTTATCCCTGAGATGCAAGAATGCTTTAA